TGAAATACACAGTGAACTACACACTGAACTACACACTGAACTACACAGTGAACTACACACTGAAATACACACTGAACTACACACTGAACTACACAGTGAACTACACACTGAACTACACCCACTGAGGATAACTAACAATGAATCAAGTTTAAAAGCAGCTGTTTAACAAAAACACTGAACACAACAGTAAAATCTGTTCGCAGCACTAGTTCTCCAGTTTTATGTGTTTTTAGACAACATTGTCTAACAAGCTGTATTTTTTATTAGACATTCACAACAGTGTGGCCAATAAATTCTACATTTATTTTAATTGTTTTAAATACATAAAGCTCTGTCAGTGATGTCTGTCAAATTAGTAGTTTGCACATTTTTCAGCTTCTGACTACCAAAATAAAAGACTTGGCTGGTCGTGAGCCAGACTAGGAGCACAGGAGCCGTGTCCACCACACTGTTCTGTTTTACACATTAACATCTGTTTCCATCTCTCAACACACCGAACTTGATTCCTGCAAACATTATTTTTATTTTCTCTCACCATTATTTAACATTTACAGCCAGTCCTGTTCTGGCTCTACTTTTAAACGAGGGACTGAAATCTCCAGTTCAGGGTTTCTTGTTTCCATATTAAATTAAATGTCAGACTGTTTAGGAGTGTTATGCCTCCATAATCCCAAAGATTAACAAAAAAATAATTAATCTGTTATGAACACAAAATGCAAGAATAAAACAGTTCTGTCACACTTTAGCAGCACTATCATTACTTCCTGTTTGGACACTGAATTGTTCTGTTGGATTTTGTTTCCCACCAAAGACAAAAGGGTGATAATGTTCTGTGTATTCTGTTAGCTAAATATTTCATAATCCATAAAAATAATCTGAAATAAAGGTGAAAAACAAATTAAGTGCTCCTGACTGGATATACTGTGGAGAATAAGTTAGATTTGACTTCACGCCTTCATCATGAGAAGCAGCCAGCTGTGTGTCACATCATGTTTGAGGCTTCAGGGGCCACACACCAACCTTCCAGTCCCAGCTCTCTGAGGGCCCTGTACCCCCCAGGCTGCAGCAGCTCCCCAACGATCCTGTCCGGCTCCTTCAGGTCTCTCTCCACCACCGTCACCCTCCTCCCATCCCTGGCCAGGACAGCTGCCATGGCTGAGCCCAGGACCCCCGCCCCAACGATGACCACATCTGGCTCTGGGGCCACAGAGGAGCCGCAGGCTGAGGGCCCCTCAGAGGTCTCTGTTTCTGGTCTGCTTCTTCTTTTACTCTGCAACAGAAGACGGATCACGAGTTGATCAGTTTTTTAATGTCCTTTCCAGACTTTAGGGATGAAACTTACAAACTAAAACTTTGTTCAACAAACAAGCATCAGTCCAGAGGACCTGACTTAACCTTGTTCTGCCTGGATTTTAGAGCATGCTTCAAGAAAAATTAAATATACGTCTAATAAAATAACAAGTTTAGACAAATATCATATTTAGTTTTTACTTACCTTTTTAAGTTTGTCTGCTCTGCTGCTCTCCAGTGTCACACTGTGTGGGACTAAATGGTTGAAAAGGGGTAAAAAGGACAAAAAGTGTAAAGGCTGACTGACAACATGAGACAGTGAGAGTCTGTGGCCGTGAAAAAACCTGATGTATGAGAGCAGCAGCCCGGCTGCAAGAAACACTGCAGCCAGAGCCAGCTGCTTGGGGGCCAGGGCCAGAAACACGCTGGACTTTTTGTACAAATAGGTGAAGGTTGCAACTCCCAGAAAGGTCCACATGTCTTTAAATAAAAAGTAGACTAAATGTAGATGAAATGCCAGAGTTTTGGTAGAAAATGTTTCATGCAACGCGCTCCGGGTCAGTTTGTCACAGGAACCTGAGCTCAGCCGCTCCCAGACAGTAGAGGGATGCTGCTGAATGATTCATGACCGTCAGAAAGTCGGGACTTCTTCCGATTCGCAGGTTTGACGTCCCGCCTGCTGCTCCGGTCGATCCACCAATCAGGAGCGACGAGTCGGTGAGCAGAGCTCACGCTATGCGCTGATTGGACAGACACGCCCACAGTGGTCCTCCTCTCAGCCGCTGATTGGCCCGCAGCCCGACAGCACAGTATGATGTGATGTCAATGAAAGGTGCGCTTTTGAATTCACCCCGACAGGGAGCCATGACGTGAAGTTTACTGGATGTTGGCGCAGAGTGAGAGCTCCTATCAAGCTGTCTGTCTGGTGATATTAGTCAAAACACAGCTTTATCCAAACCCAGATAAAACGACAGCAACATCTGGAACTAGAGTCAATTAATATAGGCCTCACTGAAGGAATGCATGCCACCCCCTGTTTTCAGGCTGGAGTTTTAAACTAAGATCTTGTCTCCTTGAGACAAGATGTCATGCTCAGAGTATGTGTTGTGAATGACTCAGCTACTACCACACTGTCGGTGTTGGCTGGTAAGGTGTATATCTTAAATTAAATTGAGTTCAAAAGTTGATCTGATGTAGATGTACAACTAATGACTATTTCATGAAAGCTTCAATAAATGCCATCCAGTGGTACATGAGAAATTTTGCTAACAGACAGTCAATTCTGAAAGTTAATGACTAAACTGGTGCAATGTGTTTGTGCTCAGATTATGTGTTGAGGACCAGTCTAAGCTACCACCCCACCAAACTTTACAACAATATGTTTAAAATTAAAGGAATTGAAGCCTTTCAGAGTTTTTAAAGGTCATAGTTGTGGCAGTCATCTTGAATCAATTTCAAAGTTTATTCAATTGTATACGTATCGTCAAATACTTTCTGCTCGATTTAATAAAATGTGTACTTTTGGAAACAGACAGACACACAAACATGGATAAAAACGTTGCACCTTTGGCAGCAGGTGATAATCAATTTTATTTGTAAGCCATTGTGGAAACTGAGGCTAAAGCAAAATGAATGTATTAATTAAAAGTGTTATCAGCTCAATTATCCAGGTAGATAACAACAAAAAAGGTTAAAATCGTGTCATCTGGACCAGTTTGTTTAAGTGAGAAATGTTTCGTCCCCCATCCAGAGGACTTCCTCAGTCTACAGCCTGCCAACCAGATCTGACCCATAGGTAGCCTTCACTGCTGTGTTTCAAGACAACCTCCTGTTGGAATCTCAGAAAGAGGTTTTAAACACGTGTGAAACACACCCATCCAAAACAACCAATCATCAACAGGTTGGCTTGAACCAGCAATGAAGGCTTCCTATGGGACAGCTCTGGTTGGTAGGCTGTGGACTGAGGAAGTCCTCTGGATGGGGGAAAACAGGGCTGGTGTGAATGCACCCTTAATAATGTTTGTTCATATAATAGGATACTGAGAGATTTTATGTTTTATTTAAAAAAATGTACACAGTATATAAACAGAACAGAGAAAATTTAAAAAACACCATGGACACCCGTCTTTCCATTTTTCCTTCCAATCAAAGCTGAGGAAACTGTGATTAATTATACTGTTTATTGTCTTATAGCAGCTGGATATCGCTGAAACAATAAAAATATTATTAACCTTTATTTAACCAGGCAAATCCCACTGAGATCACAGATCTCTTTTGCAGGGGAGGCCTGGGCCTGAGGGCAGCCTAACATGCATGTTTTTAGTCTGTGGGAGGAAACTGGAGTACCTGGAGAAAAACCACCCAAGCACGAGAAGAACATGTAAACTCCACAAAGAAGGACCCCAGGTCCAACTGGGGATTGAACCCAGGACCTTCTTGCTGTGAGGCAACAGTGCTAACCACTGAGCTGTCGTGCTGCCACACACAGGAGCCAAATGTAGATTTATAGTGAATAAAGTATACAATTTGGTATCGAACAACAACTGAGTCATCATCAAAGAGCCTCTTGAGCTCACACAATCTGAATTATAAACTCAACATTCAAGCTCCTGCTCAAGCAGTTTTACATGTAAAACCTTCATGATTTTGAAGGTAAAAAAGATAAAGCCAATGTTGTGATTCTTTGCCAGTGTGATGTGGACTCCACCCGTCAGTTCTCCGGTAAATCTGGGAATCTGGAATCTGGACATACTGTATACTGTTCAGCAGACTTTATGACTTCAGAGATCCTTCCGATGTGCTGGTTGTCTTCAGCATCCATGTTCAGATTGACAGAATGAATGCAAATTGACTCAAAACTCACAATACTTCTTATCATAAATGTGTTAGTGGTAGAGGGAGGTAAGGCAAAACAAAATATGATGAGTACAAAGGCTGTACACTAAGGAGGGAGAGAAGGACTTGTAATGTCTGGTGAGACAACGGAATCAGGTTGGAAAGGATGTGCAGCAAGTTTGGCTTGTTAAAGGTAGGAATGATAATGCTCTAACAAACGAGCAGATTGTGATGGAAAGATTCAATTCAGTTCAGTTTATTTATTAGCACCAATCCACTACAGAAGTTGCCTCAGGGCACAGAAGAAAAACATTCAGATACATAAAAATTCATTTATAAAATTATTTATCTAAGGAAGGAAGCCAGCAGATTGCTGATAGAAGATGGAAGGAGTACTTTGAGGAGCTAATGAATGAAGAGAATGAAAGAGAAAGAAAAGTAGGTCATTGAAACTGTGGACCAGGAAGTGGGAAACATTAGTGAGGGTGAAGTTCAGAAAGCTTTGAAGAGGATAAAGAAGAGGAAGGTAGCTGAACCTGATGATGATGATGTTGGAGGTATGGAAATGCCTAGGGGAGGTGGCAGTGAGAAAATGCTGGGAATGGAGGAGAAGTGTGATGGTGCCCATTTTTAAGAACAAAGTTACAGAGTTGTACAGAGTTGCAGCAACTACAGGGGAATTAAGCTGATGAGTCACAAAATGAAGAGCTAGGAGAGCACAGAGCGAGACAGAAAGAACTTCATTGCATCTTTGTGGATTTAGAAAAAGTATTTGACAGGGTGCTGAGGGAGAGGCGTGGTATTGCATGAGGAAATCTGAAGTGGCAGAGAAGTATGTTAGACTGGTGCAGGACATTTATGAGGACAGTGGTGAGATGTGCTGTAGGAGTGACAGATAGCTTCAAGGTGGAGCTGGGAGTGCATCAAGGATCTTCTCTGAGCCCCTTCTTGTTTGCTCTGGTGATGGACCGACTAACAGATGAGGTTAGGCAGGAACCCCCGTGGACGATGATGTTTGCAGATGATATTGTGATCTGTGGTGAGAACAGGGAACAGGTGGAAGAGAACTTGGAGAGGTGGAGGTATGCACTTGAAAGAAGAGGAATGAAAGTCAGTCATAGTAAGACAGAGTACACGTGTGTGAATGAGAGGGAGGAGGTGGAACAGTGATGCTACAAGGAGCAGAGGTCACAAAGGTGCAGGACTTCAAGTACTTGGGGTCCACTGTCCAAGAAAATGGGGAATGTGTTAAAGAGGAGAAGAATTCAATTCAATTCAGTTTATTTATATAGCGCCAAATCACAACAAAGTTGTCTCAGGGCACTTTACAGAAACATTCACATAAAAGCCAATTAGTAAAGTTCTCTATCTAAGGAATCCAGCAGACAAGATGAATCTTGGCTTTGTTGCAGTCTCCCATCCTGAGCAAGCACAGTGGCAACAGTGGAAAGGAAAAACTCCCTTTTAAAAGGAAGAAACCTCCAGCAGAACCAGGCTCAGGACAAGAGGCCATCTGCTTTGACCGGCTGGTTGAGAGGACAGGAAGGAGAGACAGACAAACACAGAATTGTAGGTCCAGGTATACGTCCAGGTGTATCTGAAAGACAAAAAAAACACATGTTAAGGATAGAAAAAAATAATTACAAATACAAAACAGGATGAGCAGAGTAAGTAAAGACAGTAGTAGAGTGAAAACTGGTCAGTTTGTCCTCCAGCTGTCTAAGCCTATGGCAACATAACTAAGGGACAGCTCAGGAAACCCAAGCTGACCCTAACTATAGGATTTAGCAAAAAGGAAAGTCTTAAGCGTAGTTTTAAAACTGGATAATGTGTCAGCCTCACGGACAGAGATTGGAAGTTGGTTCCACAAGAGAGGAGCCTGATAAGAAGAAGAGAGTTCAGGCAGGATGGAGTGGATAGAGAAAAGTTTCAGGAGTGATTTGTGACAAAAGTGTAGCAACAAAGGTCAAAGGAAAAGTTTACAAGACAGTGGTGAGACCAGATATGTTGTATGATCTGGAGACAGAGACAAAAAGACAGGAGACAGAACAGGAAGTGGCAGAAATGAAGATATTGAGGTTCCCCTTAGGCCCCTTAGGAGTGACAAGGATGGATAAGATTAGGAATGAGATCATCAGAGGTACAGCACAGGTTGAACAACTGGGAGATAAAGTTAGAGAGACCAGACTGACATGGTTTGGACATGTCCAAAGGAGGGACAGTGGTTTGGACATGTCCAGAGAAGGGACAGTGGGTATATTGGTAGAAGGATGTTAGAAATGCAGCTGCCAGGAAAAAGACAAAGAGGAGATCTATGGATGCAGTTAGAGAGGACATGGAGGTAGTTGGAGTGAGGACAGAGGATGCAGAGGACAGAGATGGAGGAAGATGACTCACTGTGGAGACCCTGAAGAGGGAAAAGTCAAAAGAAGACAAATAACAAAATAAAGGTATCAGTGTTACCTCAACTGTAATGTGACGGTAGAAAGTTCAAACCATTTGGTTTGTACTGATGAAAAATACTTTGCCCAAAGGGAAACAGAATTTTGCTAGTTAGATTTTTTTGTTGTTGTTTGACAACTTTGTTTTTGGTGCAGAAAATGTCAAAAGGCTTCTTTAGTTCTGAAGACCAAAGGGAGCGGGTTCCAGCTGGAGTTTGGACCTTCGCACTTGTAGAACCACTGTAGTCACATGTCCTAATTCATCTGGTCGAGCAGGTGAACAGGTTTGTATGTCTCAAGCTGGGGGTAGTTCTGA